GAAAGAGGATACTATTATTCAAAGTCAGCTGAAACAAAGTTTTCTATTTCTTTCATCTTAAGAAAAAAAAAATGGAGATGCCTTCTGGGAGTAATTCTCTGGCCTCTGGAATTTCATGGATCATGCCCTGATGCACCCAGTCATGGCCCTGGGAGGGCTGAAATACGATCGTGTGCTGAGGTTACCTTCCTTTTTACACTGAGATCTGGAGAGCTCTCAGGTAACCCAAAACATGAAGAAAACAAGAACAGCTTAGAAAACTGCTGCAGAAATGAACTGATCTTCGGGCATGAATAACTAGGAATGGAGAATTCAATGCTGTATTCCTGAAAAAAATTTCCCCTAAAATGTAGCAAATTTTGGTGAATATTGCGGGAGAGGAGACAGATGATCCCTCTGCTCAAAGGGCAGAAACAGCCATTGCTCTTCCCCACACACTCTTCATTTCTAGGCAGAGAGTTTTGGCTAATACAGTCTTCTCATGAGAAATCTTACGGTCAAATTATTACTGTTTAAGTACCTTCCAAATTACTACTGTTAAGTTATCTTCCTCAGTTTACTGGCAAATAAAGCTACTGCAGAGTGCTTGGTCTACAACATGCTCTACTCTGTGAAGAGGACCACTATAAACACTGGGCTACTACGCAGGAAATGCACAGAATAGGGATGCAAATAAACAAGGGAATATAAATATTCCCTTGTCCAAATAGACAATAGGCCCATTGCATCAGCAGCAAATGTCTAAGTGAAATAAGCATTTAGCTTTTTCTCCAAATTGAGTTCCTAGGATGAACATTGGTATAATCCAGGATAAATTCCACTGAAATTGAAAAATATTTGTAGAAGAACAACTTGTGCAACATTTAGATACACAAACAAAACAATAATGTAATCTAATTAAAAAATCAACTGTTATTGTAGAAAAAAAAAGTTTCATAAACTTTTATGAAAGGCAGAAGATTTGAAAGAGAATGTTATCTTGAGTTGATAACTAGCTTTTAGTGGAGCACAAGCTTGCCAGGAATAACAGCTATCCTTTGGTAATGCAAAAAATGCTAATAATTGCCTCATCATTCTAGATAAAGCATAAATCTGTTTTGTTTTACCTAGGCAGGATGTTTAAGAGGTATCATTTTTCATCTAATAATTATTGGGCTCTGACATATTTCCTATGAGGGGAAAAATGAACTGTTCATTCTGTTACTCAGAACAGAAATATCCATCACCTGCACAAGAAACAGAGAGTTGAGTTTGTTTCCAAAGGTGTTCGCTGTCTCACTAAAACCTTGAAAGGTCCCTAATACAACAGAAACATTAATTCATTTCATTCATGTCTACTTGTGCTCATTGGACTTCATCAGATTAGTTGATGTTTACTAGGACTTCAGCTCGTTTTTCTTGGATTTCTAGTAATGAAAATACATATTTAGTTTTCAGTTATGCCTCTCTTCAATCTCTTTTGTTTCTAAGCACAGGTCTCCTGTCCGTGAGAAAGGTTAGTTTGAACGCTACTGGCCATATCTTTACTAGCCAAGTGTGTCTTTAGATACAAGGTTGGCATGTTGAATTTGTATTCCATACTATCACTGAACTTCTACTTGAACTTACCCAGTATGGTAGGTGATACAAGATATCATAACTAAAACAAACAAGCAAGCAAAAACAAAAACAACAACAACAACAACAAAACAGAAAAACAAACAGGAAAATGAATCCATATCCTAAAATAGCTTTAATAGTCATTGATAAAATATGCTAGTATAATGCTGTCTAGAAAAAGAAACCTGAGCTAAAGATTGGGTATTGGGGAGGAGGGTTCAGGGGGAAAATAGGAAAATTCTGCTGATAACAGACTGTTATTCTTCCAGTGCTCCTTTTGCCATAGAAATCATGAGAGTAGGAGCAAAACTGTACTACAGGCCTCCACTGCTGTTTTGGCTTGTGCTTCAGATCATGAACAAGCCAGGAGGCTGATGTAAGCTAGGGCAGTGTCTAGCCTGCCTGTGCCTTGCTAAAAGGCATTATATTCCCCGCGCGACCCGAGATAAAACACAACTTGCTTTAAACTACGGTGACCTCTGCCACTAGAGGGCTGCACCTATGTCCTGCGCCTCCTGGGTTTCACATCATCACCGCGCCAACCAGCATCACTGGATTTTACAAACTTTACTGAACGAAGCATATCTGCGATAGTTAATTAAAATATCTTTGAAATGTTTCTTACATGTGTATCTTTGTGTTGTTAAACAGAACTCCTGTTAGGAAACTAACTGAGAGGCAACAAAATAGCCCTAACTAGATTCTTCAAAGAAAACAACTGCCTATCACAAGCTATAAAGAATGCACCTACACGTACCAGAAGAGTAAAACTAAGTATGTTATCCTGAAGATAACATATCAGGAAATTATTAAACAAACATCATTCTGTAGGGACAAGAGGCGGCACTTATGAAACAGCTGTAAGGAAAAAGACTAACACAGGACAGACATCTGCTGTGTGCGTGAAGAAATTAGCTTTCAGGATTACCGCTTTTCCCCATTAGTTTATGGAAAATGGATATACAAACAGCAAACACACTGCTTACCATGTTAAAACCCTTTTTTATTCTACGCTTTAATACTCCTGTTGTTAAGATGAAAAAAATACTTTTGTTTAAAGAATGCAATCAAGTAAATGCATTGCGAGCTAATTGGAGCTCCCAAAGGAAAGACTTGCAGGTGCTGAATCCAACGAGATCTGCCACATAATTAAAACTGGTGCAGGGGGCACCGTAAAACACATGTGGTCTCAGAAAAGGAGAATTGCTTGATTCAACGTTAGTACACATGAATGGGGCACATTCAGCGGGATAAAAGGGAGCAGTGTTATAATTTACACAGTTCCTCTGTGGATATTGACTAAAGATGGCTTTATTTCAACATCGCTGTTTTATTTTCGTCTTTAAAATTTTCAGTGTGCCATTTGCTTAGTTTAGAAATAAAAAGAGGCTTCTCAGGACCGATAGCCCTACAAACTGGACCTGGGATTTTCGCATCATGCTGCTCTCTTTCTGGCTCAAATACTAATTAAAATTCTTCAACTGGAACTTGGTAAGGAAAATGGAAGAGCCACAATATTCTCCAGCTTGCTCTACCATAATTGTGTCAGCAGCTGCCAAGGTAACAGGAACCTAAAATTTTATTTTAGTTGGTAAACTAAGCAATTATGAATCAGAGTATCTGACATACAAAGGGTCTACGATGAGTAAGAAAGCTCCGTTTTTATACAGTCATTTACATAGAATCGGAGAACATACAGTCTTACTCAATCCACTACATCTATTTAGTCTGACTACGAGCAGTCTCGATACTGCATTCCCAGGACACAAATCCCAAGGAAGCCATTGAAAGTTTCCTACCTACAACGATGGATTCACTTCTCGGCTTGTGAATGCAGGAGCCTCTTTGGATATTTAAGTGTTTTAATATCCTATAATGCATTACGTATCTGTCTCATAATTTATAAGCAAAGGCTATGTGCTATATTATATATTATACATGAAATTTGTATGTTAAGTACTATAAATTGTTTGGGGCTGTATAGTGGCTAGCAGTTACTAGAATTAAGGCCAAATCTCCCCAGGAGCTTAGAAAGGAAACTGGAATTCATCCACAACAGCCAGGTTTTAAGCTTGCCTTGTAAGAAGAATCGAGACAGCAACCACTCCACACACATGCAAATCAATACGGATTTAATACCAAGCGCAATTTGATGCAATAAATATGCACTACTATAGTTTGTACAAAATTAATGCTAAAACACTGTTACAGCTATGTTTGAGTTTTTTTTTTTAATATAGTCAGTTATTGTCAAACCTCTAAAATTATAGTCAAACCTCTCAAAGCTCCCCTGCCCCCAGCACCTCATAATCCTTTTAAACTTCAGTCTAAATAATAGGAAGTCTCTAAGTAAAGGCAACCTCAGTTACAATGAAACAGTGTTCATTTTTTTTTCTACTAAATATTTACATAAGAAACACGGCGAGACAGCTCTGCTAGCCCGGTTGCCACAGCACAGAAATAT